GTAAAGAAATAAAAGACTTTCATAACTTTACACCAAACCAATCTTAAAGCTGTGTTCACATTACAAAATAGTTCAAACTGACAAATAATCAAGAAAGGTTTGAATTTAACACAAGTAAATTGTACAGTCTCTTTTGTATATTTTTGAGATAATCTCCAGTAAAATCTTCAGGTAGCGTTTCGACATGGAATTCCTGCCCTGATTTTGAAAGGTCTGAACTGTAATTGTGATAAAAATTCTTGCCAATAAGGGCTCATGACTACAACATCAGAACATATTTATTTATATTTTAGCAAAAGATTGATGGATGATTTCTGAACACAGGCATTGACATTTGGGTAAAACCTGAGTTAAGCATTAAGCCCAAAACGTATTTTGTTTTCCTGTAACTATTAATGTGAGGCAATAGAGCAGAATAAAGACTTGTCTATAGCGATTCCCCCTAATCAAATTTCAATAATCAAAGATACATTTCCATGCTGTGCATATTCTACCTAAATTTTCTGCTTCTATTAGTTCTCATATGATCTGAAAAACTCGGAATGGAAGGGTAATCACAATTCATTTATTGACAGAGGCAAGACTCTTAGTCTTAATAAATCCAAATGAGCTTACATACAGTATAATATAACCATAATATAACCAAGCAAGTTGCAAAAATATATCATGTATCCAGTAGAGAGTGTACAAGGTTAAAAAAAAAAATTCATATACCAGTACATAGCATAACCCAAACGTTATTGCTCATGTTCCCATGGATCACTCACTTCCAAGTTTAACAAAAAATACTACTGAAACTAGTTTGATAATACACATGTAGTTTTAGATAACCAATGGAAAGTACAATAATTGTTTTATTGGCCTCTTGAATTATGAAAATGTTGCCATTACATACATAAAGATAGGTTGCCAGGCAACAAAACATACGCCCACAGAAGCTAAATCATCCAGGCAGTCAACAAGAGTAGTCGCATATTTTTACTTTTGTCGTTAATGGAACATTTATAATACACTAAAATCTGATTAAGAGTAACAACTCATTAAGTAATTATCAGAAAATCATTAGAATTTGTTTGGCCCATGGTAACATTTAGTATACATCATTTAATATCATGGATTTAGCTGTTCAAATTATCAAAAACCATTGAAAATCAATATACTTGTTCGTTTCAACACCTTAAACTCTGTATCAAGCCAAAGTCAATCAAAACAATTATATATGGGCATAAACAAGGTGTATAATAAATATAAAATCAATCAGATGATAACTATAGTCATAAAGCATCCACAACTTTTTGCAAAGTGATCAAGGGCCATAACTCTCCCAGTAATTATCTGAAATCACTGAAAATCAATTGGCTTCTTCGTCACATGACCTTAAATACTGTGTATAAATTTAAAGTCAATAGGATATTAACTTTAGCCTCTAGAGCCTCCACAAGATTTTTCAAACTGATCAAGGGCCATAACTGTGGCAGTAATTATCGAAAATCACTGAAAATCAATAGGTTTCTTCGTCTTATGACCTTAAACACTCTGTATAAATTTAAAGTCAATCGGATATTAACTTTAGCCTCTAAAGTATCCACAATATTTTTTAAAGTGATCAAGGGCCATAACCCTGGCAGTAATTGTCGGAAATCATTGAAAATCAATAGGCTTCTCCGTCTCATGACCTTAAGTTAAACACTGTGTATATATTTAATGTCAATCGGATATTAACTTTAGGGTCTAGAGCGTTCACAACATTTTTAAAGTGATCAAGGGCCAAAACTCTGGCAGTAATTATCGGAAATCGTTGAAAATCAACAGGCTTTTTTGTCTCATGACCTTAAACACTGTGTATAAATTTAAAGTCAATCGGATATTAACTTTAGCCTCGAGAGCGTCCACAAGGTTTTTCTAAGTGATCAAGGGCCATAACTTTGGCAGTATTTATCGGAAATCGGTGAAATTCAATCGGATTCTTCGTCTCGCGACCTTAAACACTGTGTATAAATTTAAAGTCAATCAGATATTAACTTTAGCCTCTGTGGACCTATAATAACAAAAAACAAAAGTTAACACCAATAAATTTTAAGTCCAAAAGTCTGTGATTTGAACCTTTTGTGCTGTTTTACCCTTTTGTTGTGCATATATTTGGGCATATTAATAGATGATTCTGACCATATTTTTCTGTTGACAAAGCATTATTGGGCATTGTGTGAAATTTGTGCATTAATTTATGTCATAAATCACTGGGAATGGATCAAACCTTGCTATATTATTTATTATCTCTGCTTTGATTTAGCAATATATGAATTTTTTTCATTAAATTTAGAGATATAGAAGATCATTAATAACAAAATTCAATATATTTAAAACAACTGATCAGTGGTTAACCATTTTATTGTGTATTGTAGTTATAAGTTTTCCTCGAGTTGAACAGCCAGGGCCGAAACCGGAAGTAGTATAACTCTTATACAATTATACCCTAAATCTTATTCTCGGTGCGTGCGACATTGAGACAATATGGCAGACATGAAGCGGACACAAACGAATGTTGATAAATTTGACCCAAAAGGTTAATCAGTATACACAGTGCTTTATACACACTGAGGAGCTGCTGTGGCTTGGTGAGTAAGACATTAGCTCGCTAACCTAGAGGTTCCATGTTTGATATTGGTGTTGGCTGGAAAGGTTCATCAGGATTTTCCGGCATGGTTCCGTTGAGATGTGACAAAAAACTAAGGTCCTATATGTACACATTGATGATTTGGCTTGCAGCTAACAGAACCCTTGACAGTTGGAATTTGATACAAGAGTAGGCTATAGAGCCGCTGTCCAGGAAAAATTTACCTAACTGCGCACTGTATGGCGTACGCCGGTCTTCATTATCCCAGTTGGATAAATGAACTAGATTTTACTTTTTTTTAGCACTATATATATTTTTTTTCCATCAATAGACAATTAAAATAATCCCTTATTTAAATTCTCTGTTGGTCATTTGTATTGTTTGGAAAACATCAAATTTTCAATGGCTTAATCCATGCCAAAATGTACCGCACTCAAACTCAGTATCTAATATGTAAGAAAACGCAATCAAAATCTCCCGGCAGAAAATATCCCGGTTTGGAATCAATCGGAATATCAAGAGGCCCATCAAAATGTTTTAGCAAAGATTACAGGTAGCATTGGCTTTCGACCATATCCCATTTATATTGTCTACAGACATATCTTTGTATAATCTGGAAGGAATTGAAGAATTTTTCGACTGGTATTCCTTTCAGACATTCATCTCTCACAATGTTGTAATCTCTTAAATGACGTTCAAAGAGTTTAACCGTGAAAGTTTTGTCATTAGAATCGCTGTAATGTATTGGTTGTTGACCAGTCATAATTTGGAACAGAAATTGCGAGTAGTAGTATGAGCAAATGGAGGCTTTTCGCAGTATTTATTCATAGTTAATTCTTACCTCACATTCATTTTGGAAAGGAATAATTAAATATGAGTGAGGTGTTCTGTGAGTATTGTGGTCTGAAGTCAATTTACTGAATATTAAGTAAATTTATTGCACCTGTCACAACAGATAGTTATACTTATTACATGCCAGACGTAAAAAAAATTACATGTCGGCAAACGGCAAAATGTATTTCGACCCCTGCATCGCAGCAGATACCAAATTCTTGACAAAGCATTACGACCAATGGAGTTTTCTCAATGCGTAGGTGCAATAGATAAGGTGTACCGGCATTCCAAATCTAGATTCCATAGTTCTGTCAACAGATTCGTGAACACGAGGGACTTTGCACACAACATTCTTTATCAACGGTAAGACAATCTTTAAAATTAATGCACAATTTCTTTTAAAAAGATGGTTTATGCAATGATGTAGGTTTTAAAAAGCGAGAGCAATGGGGTTTAAACTAGGTCATTTCGGGACTAACATATGGTTCAATTTTATTTCCATTATACGCTTGTCCGTAGGGGTCTTTAGCAGTGGGAGGAAACTGGAGGACTCGGAGAAAACCCCTGAGGTTGGACAGGCGACCCTACCCCTTCAACCCTTGTCACGTACAACCGGGGAATCGAAACCACGCCAGTTGACTCAATGACAGACTTTATGATACAGTGCGCACATGCTAACCATTCAGCCATCCAACCCCCCAGGTTTTTAAAAAAAAAAAAAGGCACTTCTGCCGATGTTTTGTCGTCTGCTATCCCTATATGGTAGCCTACAAAGTACAATCCGTAGTTAAAGCAAGACAAAGACGCGTCGAGACGAAGATGTGTAGAGGCCTTTACTTACAAAGTACAATCCGTAGTTAAAGCAAGACAAAGACACGTCGAGACGAAGATGTGTAGAGGCCTTTACTAACAATTAACACTGTATAATCATTCTTAATTAGGGACTATTTAATATTCTAGACAGTAGTAATTTGACAAGATAGTGTTTCTGTATCAGAAAAAGATTCCCAAAGTTACGAAATAATCTTAAGCTTCATTTGATCATATATAATTCTAAATAATTTATAGTGGCATAATTGTAGGTGTCCATTACAACTGAAACACTAACTTTAATTTAAAAAAAAAAACAACATTCTTCACACATTTAAATCTCACGGTTATTCAGTTAATTGGTAGCCTAGTTAGAAAATGTTTTTAAATGGAGTGCGTGAGTAGATCTATAGGATAAGGTAGGCTGGGTATTAAAACAAAGAATTTATTATCTAGTCATTGAATAATAGTTAACATAGCAGGTACATAAAGAGTAAATATGATTTAAAATGTGGCAATATATCAGATAGGATCTGTGTGCTTAACATTGGTCAAGAATAATTTGATCAATCGACATTTCATTTATTATAACCTCAATGTCATTGCAAACAAAATCGAAAGTCATGACAAGATATCAACTTCCGGTTTATATTTTCGGTTTATTTTTGCTCATATTGTATAATCATTGCACTCTAATTGTGCTCCACATGGAACAAACAGTTTTAATATCCATGTCACTTGCCTTATGATGTCCTAATTGTAACGTAGAAGCAGGAAACCACCTGCAACATCGAGGTAGATACCGAAGTCTTGACGAAAGCATGGCGGCCAATTGATATTACGCAATGCGCAGGCGCAAAAGGTCACAGAATATAATGAGGTCAAGAGATGTTATTCATGTATTCCAAATCGAGATTCACACGGTTATGATTAGTCCGGACGAGAGGGACTTTTTGACATTCTTTATTAATGGTAAGACAATCTTTATAATTGATAAATAGTTTGTTTAGAATAAATCGCTTATGCAATGATGCAGGATTAAAAAGATACCACTGAATTTCAAGTAAAACCCGCACCTGCCCATTATTTCACGTCGTCTGCTATTCCGATGCGTGTATATTATGATATTTAAGGGTAGATAAACTGAGGCAGGAACGTGTTGAGGGCCACCAAAGGTTCACCAAATAATAATAAATGACACCGTATAACTATTCCTAATGAGGGTCTATTTAATATTCAGTATTAATTTGACGAGATTGCAAGATTTGATCATATATTTCTAAATAATTTATAGCGCTGCCCTCGTCATAGGTGACCATTTTAACCCAAAGACTCATTTTAATTAAGAAATATGTTTTCCGTCATCTAAATCTCGTAGATATTTAAAGGCAAAACATGTGTTTTGAAAAGATGAAGGGGGTGGGGGTCGGTATTAGAACAAAAGACTGGGCGCTAATTATTATTTAAACTAGTTATCTGAATCTCAAACAACATCTTCGTATGGACATCGACTTATTCTTTATTTCCAACTTTTGATTATGTATGCACCAAAAGAAAAAAAGAAAGTGCAAATGCAGTGCGCTTTGAAGTCCTTATACAGGATAAAAATTAATAATAACATTTCAATATTTTTTAAAAAGTTGAAAATGAAACATAAAAAGATAACACCTTAGGAAAGTCGGGGGATTAGTGCGATATATATTAGTACCCTCCGACGATAAAGATGCTTAATGCCACGATTATGATATTATAACTGCTAATATTTTAAAGGAAATCATTATATGTACAAAGAAAAAGAGGGAAACTTAAGCGATTATTCAACTTTAGAAAATAGTTATAATCTAACCACCTCCTTCCTTGTCACGCGTTGACTTGTTACAATATCATTATAGGGACAAGATCGTTTTGTACTTAAATTTTAATTTCTTCCGCATTTTAATATTTTATTCGGATTCGTAAAGATATTGTGTCGTACGCATCAGTGGATATATTATTGTTGCGCTGAATACAATATATGTATATATAGAGTGATAAGTATATTTTGTTTTCATTTTAAAAATTCTTCATTTTCAACTTTATTTAACACCAGAATATTTTCTGAATAGCCTTATCTTATTTATTACGAGGCTTTATTTCAATTTTTGCATACCCGCATTTCAAACTGACTGGCAATCTTAAACCATATGTGATATCTTTTGTTTTATGAAACAATAAACGAGTATTGTTTTATGACCTTTTTTACATGTATTTATTAAAATATCTTTTCAATATATTTAATAAAACACGAGATAGGGGCTGCGTTTCAAGTTCCTTTTTAATTATTGAATTGAAATTCGGTAAAGACGTATTTTTTCTCGATATAAAGGTAAACGGGTCCAATTTTATTTGATATTTTGAAATAAATAAATTTACCTTCATATTATTTTAGATGCTTTAATCAATGAATGATAATGGGCGTTATTTAACACACATTATTTACAATACCGATATCATTCATTAGTTATAAATAAAGAAATTGAAAACATATTCTCATACTTAACTAGATCACGAAATATACTTTGGGCCAGATTCATTTATTTTCCCAGATATTATGCCGAATACTATTATATTTCTCAGATATTATAGTGGAATTCAAACTATACAGTTGATATTTCTAAACTGTTCTGTTCGAAAGTTTAAATGTCTAGGTACACATTAACAGAATTTGGAATTTTAAATTGTAATTAAAGCATGTTTAAAAGTTTCATTTGAATCCAATTTTGAACGAATCAACCAGCAACGCGTGAAGGGTATTGTTCATTCGAACAAAACTGTTTAAATATTTTTTTATGATCGATTTTGGTTTTATTATTACACCTGAAAATATATATCTTAAGATTAGTAAAACGCAGATTTATGACATTCATTAAGGTAAACAAAAAGGACGGAGATTAATTCCGCAAATTGTTTGGTAATGTGGGAGGAGTCAACATCACAGCAAACAAACTGAAAATAATTTGTGGGCATGAAACATGGTGAGTGCAATAAACAATGGCAACAATGTCACCACTCTTCTGTCGTTCACCGCAGCTTTCTCGACTTGATGACGAAAAGGGTTCGGCTATAGCTTGTCACAAGCTGCTGCTGTCAGATTGTCTTGAAGCGGCCAATGACACTTGGAGAAAGGTATTTGCGCCAGCCCCTTCGTGCTAGACAGGTGGTCGAATAGCCATTGACCATTACTTTACTTGTCACTTTATAAATTAAGTTTCCGCTGCTTGATTGATTCCTTGATCATCCAAACGATAGGCAACAGCTGCTTTCGTAGGGTGCACTAAACCATATAGAGCTTATATCGTACCGTATCGCCTTAGGATAAGTCATTTATTGAAGAGCCATCGCCGTAAGAGGACGGGCGAAACTTAACGGTAAGGGGCCAACACACTTTAAAACTTACAGTGTATTCTTATGGTTAGACTCAATGGTTTGCCATGTAATGTTATTATTACATAAATTATATTTTATTGTCTTACAATTCTTGGTATTTTTTAAAATTAACTTCCTTGTAAGTAAATGTAGCCGAAATATTTCAATATTGATCGCTTTGAATTCCATGATAAATTGATTGAATTGGTATGGATGTGATGTTTTCATAACGATATATATATTTATGATTTTGATATCGGTAAGTTAACGTCCATTTTGCATTATACAGGTAATTGATACGTGATATGCATGATGCATGTTACAGTGTATAGAACAATAATACAATGCAAGAAATAGTCCCATTGATGTCACTTATTCTTATCTTTTGATTTATTAATATATTTTAACGTATATTACAGTAGTTAGACACATTAGTATACCTATAATTTTTTAAGAATTTCTAAGATGCCATTATACTGCACTTAAATGAAGACTGTATTTGTTTAAAAGTCATTTTTCTTTGATCTTTTGAAAATATTCTGTATCTTGTAAAATCATACACACAGAGAAGCTGGAGATTGAGGGCTATTGTTCTGGGTCTTTAGTTCCTGTGCGACGTTATGTATGAAATATATTTCTTCTCTTGGGATTTAAATCTATATTGAAATTAAATCTCTTCTAACTATTCCCAGGTGGCATTCTGTCTTAAATATTTTATATCTCTTCACTCTTTTAAGGATATTAGTCACGTGTCAACAAAACAATAACGGGACCGTTTAAGTATTTTTTCTGATATATTTTACAGGTGTGTATGTACAATAAAGTATGAAGCCTGAAGAAGATACCTTATCGGGTGATACAACACAATTGCTGAGAGATATACTTCAAAGTAAAGATAGGAAAGAGTTAGAGAATAACAACACCATTAAAAGTTATTGCGTAGTAGAAGATCGTGAAAATTCTGAAATGATTTCCTCCATGCTACGTGCTAAATCAAATACTAGTGCTGCTAATTCCGACAATGATAACTGGTCTGTGAATGCAGACAACTATTCGGTAGACGATAGTGACATTGACGTCGATACAGAAGAACAAATAAATAACTCAGAGATAGCAACCACACAAGGTTCCCCGGAAGCAAACGATGATATCCAAAATGGACTTTCTGGCGACACAGAACAGGACAGTAAGGAAGCAAAGAGGGCGAGGGTAGAAAACATTATCACTAGTATGAGACCAATGTCTCAAATTAATTGTGACGAAATTAACCGGTCATCGCCAGAAATCAAGCGCCAGAAAAGAAAACAGTACCAGCCCCAACAACATGATGTGAAAAACTTCGGCGATCCCGAAACAAAGTATCGTAAAGTTGAGAGGGCAGCATTGCAAGAACACATTCAACAACTCCAAAATCAACTACGAGTCGTCAAACAAAAATGTGATGATCTATGTGAAGATGAACAACAATTACATAGTGCTCATTCTGATGGACTTCTTCATGGTTATTCGGAAAATAATGAACATCTCAGCCATGGCTGCAAAATTGAGAAGGAAAACTGCGTCAAAGAAAATGGATACGATATCATAAGAAACACATGTAGAAATGAATGGGATCCAAGTCATTTCATTCGACAGGCTAGTAAACTGGTCCAAGAACAAGAAGTTTTAAGCAAGAGCTCGGGTAAAAAAACAGATACTGCCCAATCTCCTGATATACATGCTTTAGCTAACTCTATAAAAACTGAAATAGTTGAGGCTATAAATAAAGTGGTAGATAATGCTGTTAATAAACTATTGGAAAAAAATACACTTCCTCAAAACAAAGTCAGTGACACCATTACTAATGGTGTATCAGTCGATTCTGTGAAAGAGACATTGTCCGCCGCTAAATTAGAACGAAAAGCGGAAGTGACATCATCCTCATTGAGTGAGCAGTCATCTGAATTTAGACATAGTATATCTAGCCGCCTGTCAGATAAAATAAGTGCTTTTGAACCTCTTCACAGAAATGATAATGACTTTCCTCGAATTTCCGTGAGTAATCAATCAACCTTGCCATTCCATCATCCGTTTCCATACTACCTGCCTGCCCAAGTCATGGGTCCAATGTATGCTACTGAGCCAGAACAGACGGAAGCACTACCTCTTATTGTCAGCACACCCAAAAAGAAGCGAACAAAGGTAACAGATACCAGATTGTCGCCACGTGCCAAATCGGCATTACTCCAGGATAGTTTCATGCCATCACAACTTTCTCTGGATCACGATCGTCCATCTATGATGTCTTCATTTCCACATCTTTTTCCACCTATGCTGCCTACAAGTGTTGCCATTCCCAATCCTAGTCTAACCCACTCAGATATTATGTCGTTTGGCATGAGGGAACACAACTTCTGGGAGTCCAGAATGATGAACCAGTCACCACCTCACTCTGACAGAGTTTCTCCCAAGTCACCAGCTGATAGCTACAGTAGTTTCAGAAAGAGTGATATTTTTGACAACTCGCAAGATATGAATGATGGTAGTCATCAAGGCCAAATAATATCCTTTAAAAAGATATTCTTTCAAGAATATTATTCAGACATTTTTAGTATTATATTCATACATAACACTATAATATATTCATGCATCAAACTATATTTATGCAACTATATATTCATGCATCACACAATATATTCAATTTTTAAAATAATGTATACAACTTCATGAAACCAATATCTGTAAACTTTAATTAAAAGAAATGATGGAATATCACTAGTGTTAGTAGCATCAAGTAACAAATTCTATACCAGAACATTTGTTTTGTAAGAACAAATATGATTGTTGTTTTGGCTCAAAAGGAATCAAGTTCTATCATTAATAAATTCTTTGCTCTATTAACTGGCAAAATATTTGTAATTTATCTCAAAATTAAACCTTAGCTGTCACAAAAAAAACCCCACAATTCTCAATTCTTGAAGATGGATGATATTACACTTCATTGCTGAGGAATTATCCTTTTTGTTATTATTTATTTGGATAGAGTTGTAGCCTGAAGCAATAGTTTGGTTCTAATCATTTGACTTTTATGTGTGTATTTTTCTTAATGATAGCATAAAAAGATTTAATAGCTTTTGTGTCAAGAATCAAATGACTTTTAATCCGATTTCAAAACAAGCAGAACATTTATATTAAATATTGATTGACAGTTTTATATAAATAGTGTTTGATGGTCATTGTTTTCGGTACATGTATATCAGTGATATCTTTTTTTAAATCGAAATTTAAATCAAATTCTTCATCAAAATCTGTATTAATCAGTTATAGTAGTCCATGAAAGAGTTCTTTTTTACCTTACTTATATAGAGATATACACAAACAATTTAAACAGAAAGGGTATTCACCTTGGTAACCCAAATGTATTTAAAGAAAAATTCAAAACTTGTCAAATTAAAAAGATCATTAAAATAATATTAAATAAACTTATGAATGTAAATAACCTTAAAATCATGTATCACTGGTTTTATTTGTCATTGGTTATTAGTATTGTGTATGCAAGGTCAATGATAAAATTGGTAGTTCAAGAAATCCTTAGATTAAATTTACCTATGATTAGATTTTAATTTTTTTATATACAAAACTTGAACTTGATTCACCAGTTAAGAAAGTGATATAAAAATATATTGGTAAGATGTATTGATAGATTTTGTATGAGTTATGTTACGATTTGATGGTCTTTATCGAACCATTTCTATTCTTGTCGGTATTTGGATGGAAACAATAAATAAATAGCCCTATAATAGTTATTGACAATAGAACAGTTTGAAGACAGTTGCCCCCTATAATTAATATTTCAAGCTAGTAGAAAGACAAAGGAAATTGTTATTTTATTCCCATTTTTTATTTGCCTTTAAATGGTTTGATGAGGGCTCTCAAATCTTTTAGCCATTTTCCAAAGATAAAATGAAATCATTTACTCTTAGAAAATTACCCTTGTAATATCATAAATTATATTATGATAAATTTAATAAGAAAATAATAACAATTATTATAAAGGCACTATTCAACTAACATTATTAATTAAATGTTGTTATTGGTTAATGATGATCAAATTGTTGGTCATTAACCAAATAAAAAAAAAATGAAGGTTGACACATACATGTACTATAAACTTGTATAATAATTAAAATTATTAAAATTATGCCAATGTTAATGGTAAAATGTGTGGTTAGATTCAGAACTTTATGGTAAAATTTATGCTTAGAAATCAAATGTTTTACTTAGTTTTCTGAAAACCAGCTGAACAAATTTCAGTGTTGTTTTTTTTATTTTGAAATTGTATTTATCTGAATTCAAAAGTAAATTTATTAATTTATGTTAAGAGTTTCATCAGTTCAGTTTCTTATTTAATAAAAATACAGGTTTTTATTGTTGAAAAGTTTAATTGAGAAATGTGAATTAATAGTAAAGGGTTTTTTATTCAGAAAGAAGACTTTGTAGCAGTATTGTTAAACAAATATGCCAGACATTGATTTTTCTGCAGAAGTGTTTGTTTCTTTTGATGGACTAATGGCTCTTATATTGTGTGTAAATAGTGGTCCCAGATTCACCACATATTAATTAAATGATGGTTTAAAATTTCTCCTTTTAAAATCTACCCTCATATCTCTTTCTTTGAAAGGCCATCTGGAGAGGAACATTCAAATATTGTGAAACACTACTCTATAGAATAACACTCTCTAAAAAAAAAAAAGGAAAAATTTAAGAATTTTTTGGAAAATCTGTAATTGTTGATAAATTATAGATAGACTTATATTTTATAGGAAATATTTGAAACTTGTGATAAGTCAAACTGAGTACCAGGTACATGTTAAATTACACACCTACACAGTATATCAAGGTTTAACTTATGATATAAATAGGTTAATAATACTAATGTCTTTAATGTACAAAGTCAACATTTCAATCATCAATTCTCACTTATCATCATCAATAAAGATAAAAGTAAGAAAGCTTGCCAAATTCTTGATGTTAGATTATGATTTAATACATGTATGTACTTACCTAATAGTTGGTAGAAAAATGAAAGTAGCGTTTGATAAGCTAGTAATATTACCTACTTGGTGTTTCTTTAAAATAACATATCAATTTCTGATTAGATTAACTATAAATAGAGCTTACTAGAAGATGTAAAAAGAACTGTATTTTGTTAACTGACATGTGACCTTAGATTTTCTCAAAAGCTTGATAAAGATATTCAATCAGTTCAAAGATCTTTTCTACACCCGCATTACACCTGTCATAGTGTGTAAAGTCCTATATTTAATTAGATAATATGTCATATTTACATGTTATCAATAATGACTATTATACTTAAATAATATAGGCTACTGATATTTGACTTAAAGTGATAGTGCCACTTTCTCCAGAATCAAATTGATATGAAGTGGTAATTTTAAGAATCTGTGAAGTTTATGTATTGATTATTTATTGTCTTACAGCCTAAACAAACGTACCATAATTAAAAATTATTCAAGTTGATAAATTCTAACAATTATTGCCATTGAAAGTTTAAACTGTTTCCTAATGATATGTCTTAGACAAATACTGGAATAATAATTCTGCTATATTTTCATTAAAATGGTACATATATTTTTGACTTTTGAGATTTGTAAATGATCAGGCACATTGTGCCTTTAATTTACTTTTATGAAAAAAATCCTGAATTTATTGAATGTTAAACAGAATTTTACTTAAAATTGCAATATATTTACTGTTCAAAATAGGGAAGGTTTTCGGTTGTCAAACAGTTTATGTTGTTGATGATAGTGGACATGAAAGCTGCATACTAGATTGACACAAAAGATATTTTACACTAATATTATCACTTAAAATATTAGTTCTATTTTAAGATTACTAAGAAATCGAGACATGTTATTTTAAAATTATGGTTTTACCATGTTGACTATTGATTAGGTACATATTGCCAAAGCTATGCTTTCAGTTACTTAAAAGCAAAGATTTTTCTGAAAGTCGATAGAGGAATCGTGTAGAGATGTTGACATATTAATAAAGATACAATCAGAACTTTTGTTGTAAGTTTGTGTTGAGAATAAACATATATTGATAAATCAGAATCATTTTCAAACAAGCTGACATCTTAACTACCAAGTAAATGTCATCAAATTGGGTTAGGGTTTTTTTTCCTTTTCAAGAGTGATTTGAAAACCTTGTATTATTTCTATATTTTTTTTTTATTTTAGAATTGATCATTTATTCATGGTCATGATTCTTTTGTGTTGGCTGTAAATTTCTATTTGACCTGATAAAATAGAAAATCACTCTTTGATTAGCAAATTATTTTCTAAGAAAATCAATCACTAGTCTTAAATTAAAGATAGGGCTATTTTTTATCATTGCAAGTTGGTTATTTCAGAAATATCTATGGTTTGTTTCCTTTTAGAATGGGTTTATTTTCAAAATTAATTAGATTTTGATATTAAAAAAGTCAAAATAAGAATATATGGTATATGGTTAAGTTACATATGAATGGTAATTGTTTGGATTATCATTTAAAATATCAAATTAAATAGGTTTCTGGAACTTAATTGAATGACTTTTTTTCATAATCTTCCATAAAACCTTTAATGAAGCGTTATAAAAGATATTAAATCAAATTTCCGCCCTTTCACAGGTAAATTATGTACCATTGAGTCCTAGTTGTCTTAATAGACATATATGTATGAAAAACGTTGAAAATTCAATAAATTTGAAATATCAAACAGAAAATTTACTTGCTATGCATTCAATTACTATAACAAAAAGCTATATTGATGTACCAGAGTATTAATTTTAAACAAAATTAAAATGAAACAACTGGCAATTTTGCTTATTGTAATATTGATTAAAAAGTTTAACAATATGCTCTGATGGAAATTTTAATATCAGAGATATAAAGAAGAGTCTAGATAAGGTTTCAGCTATCATATTATTGGTTTATCCAACTTGGTAAGGTGTTCAGCTCAAGTGTTAGAGTAATTTGATCTCTGGTGGTGACAGATTGCTGTTCAAAGCCACCTTTTTGTTTTCTGATAACTCATCAAGTATTTATCTATAGAATAAAACAGGACATAACACAACCAATTCTTGTTTAATGTTTCAAGTTTAATTAAAGAGGTGATGAATTTTGTTTCGTTGTGTACAGTTTTTAATAGATTTTAGGAAGTGATGAAGGTAATCAGATGATATAACCACAGATCACATTCTATTGTAAAAACATGGTAACAGATGTAAGAAATACTTAGTCATTATATCTTTCAAGTAATGTTCTATTTTAATTCTTGTTTTATAATATAATAGACTTGTACAAAATCATATATATACATCTGATCAGAATATCAATTAAGGTATTTCTATTGTTCACCTCCAAACAACATATCAGTCAGAATCATCTTTCTAATGTTCTCCGGGCAACATTTGGTGGCGTCATTATGATAATTACAACGTCAAGCATAGTAAATGCCTTAAATGTCTGCAAGAAATGTTGTCCTTTAGACCCTGATATGTGTCAGAATACCATAAATATGTTTTTTGTATAAAATGTATAAAAGCATGAAACATATTTATTGGTTTACTATTATTAAATTGAAGTGATTGCTCATAGGAACTAGATTTCACTATGTGATTAGTTATACAGCTTTCCAAACATCAAATACCGGAATTGAACAGAGTTCTCAATATCCATGTAGAATTAAAAATGACCTTCAATTCTTCATTCACTAAAAGAATATTCTTCAGATAAAGTTATCAATTCCAGGAACAGGCTAAAGAATATCTTTGATTGAACAAAAGATAATTTGAGATGAAAAGACCCAAAATAAGTTACTTAGAATAATTTGATATTGAACAGAAGTTAAAAAAAAAGGAACATTTTAATTGATTTTCATATCCATGCAGATGTTAAGAAATATTAAGTTATCTTGTTGCTGAACAAGTTTGAAACAGATTCCATTAGAAGATAGAAAGAACATTATAATACACAGAGGCTACAACAAGATAAAATACAAGATGAAAAAAATTTAGAAAATTTGCAGACATAAGTTAGTTTATCTCTTGAGAATAAGCGACCATCTTTGTACTAGCAGAAGACATTATATTACAAGAATAAAAATCTTATTGATAATGAATATCAAGCTACAACAATTAAATTATTACATTTAAAACTCTATTAAATTTCCCATTTCTCTAATGCTTTCTGAAAACAATCTACCCACAGAAGTTGCGATCTTCAAAACTCCTTTCCGAAAAACAGTCCTAGAATTTTAACAAATTCTACTACATGCTATTGTTTTTAAGGAAAACAAACAAAATTTAGATTTTATTTTGAAAAATTTCAAAGAAAAACATAAATAGCTAACACTCATCTAGTCACAATACTTCCTGGTATTTTATACTGTTATGTAATTGAACACCTTCAGAAAAGCCAGAAGTAATTGTCCCAGTTAGAACAATAAAACTTATGAATAGAAAACTATGTAAATTGAGCTCATTTTATTGTCATTTATACAAGGAAGATACAATGGTTCCTTTTCCTTTTCTCCATTGTCTACCATTGGTGTATCCACTTCCTTCTATATAATATTTGACACTTGATATCAGCAAGATAGACACATTTTTTTTATTCTTTAACCTTTAATTTTAATCTGGCCTCTTTCCGAGTAACAGTATACACTTAATGAACTTTCATTATGCAATTTCAATTGACCAATATTTTGTGCAGAACCTTATTTTTTTAGATTCTAACTATAAGATATTTTCTGTTATACTTCTATGGACTTTTATTTTGATTTATTTAATTTTTTTTTTACTGTGCTTAGTCCTCAAAGAAATATTATTCAAATTGTATGTGTGCCATAAACAACCCTAATGTTTCAGATTATGTTTTCAGCACAAATTTTTAAAAACATTATTTATTTTATATAAAAAAAGAACCCCCTTTGAGATTTGAGTAAATTTATGAATAAAAGTAGAAATAATCTTGGTTGTATTGAGATCATATGATGAAGCATTAGAGAAGGAAAGACTAAAAATATCACATTGTTAAAAAAACCCCACATATTTCACCAAATAGACACTTATTAAACCATACATCATTCACACTGACATTAAGTAACCAAGAAAAATTATAATGAATGTATTAATTGAAATATTCAAATTTCTTTCTTTTAGATACATACAGGCCTGGAAATAACGGTTTTAGATGTACCTGACATTGACAAAATGTCAGGCACTAATGAAATAGTACCTGATATTTTTAACAGTGACAGACATGTAGTAATAATATCAATAAAAAAGACAAATCAGTACCGGACAAAATGACAGACACCAGAGGTTTAGTGCCTGACAAAGCCAGAATCTGTGCCTGACATTGTCTGTGACAGGTGCCTTATTTCCAGATAATTGGTATTTTCCACACACTACACATATATGTGTATGGAATTTTCTCCAATATACACTGATGTGTAAATTGGAGGAATAATATTTTAAAATCATTATTATTTCATTTTTAAAACAGTTGGACATATTATTATAGTTTTAGAATTTATTGAATATTATTCATATTATGTATGACATGGTCATCTGAAATTATTTTCCTTAACCCAAACTTTACACCTCAACTTTAACCCCGATGCACTTGAGGAAAGCCAAGTTGATGTTCTTCTATTGTCGATATCCTAGTTCCGCCATCCTAAAAGTCTACTTCCCAGACATCAAATTTAACAAGAATAATACAGCACAATTAGTGAAATGGTTCAGTAATTTCAGGTATGTATTTTTGCATAATCAAATCTGTAAAAAAATGTTGTCATTGATCACCAAGGTTAGATTCATGATTAATTAAAGTCAGCGTCAAAATCACTAGGATAAAGATATTTAGGTCAAAAATCTTAGTCGTCCAGATGCATTGATACGCATGTTACAGGATATTCCAGTTGGAAATCGAACACAGGACCCCAGGTGGCATCCATACACCTCAACCAAGTGATCTATAAGGGAATTCCCAATGACCAAGTCAGTTGGAAGTAGATTTAAACTCAAGACACCACAGAAAAGAACAATCCAGGCATCCCTAGATGTACCAAAAATCACACTGAACACCACATAATATTTACAACCTTGCTACACAAAACAAGCATTGCAATTTGTATAGTTAGTGTTATACATTTAAGATGGTTTACAAAATAAGATGATTCTGACATCAATGTTTTTATTTCTAATTAAGAATTTATAGAGTGTAATTGTGGGGTTAGGAGTAGGACAGTGGACTGGCAATTAGAAATTCGTGAGAAAGTGTGTCTCAAACGTCATTTGGTGGGGACAAAAAACCATTGTCTGTGTACAAATTGTGTAGATGCCCCTGTCCACAAAATTCCCACCCGACCCTACCCTCTTAGCATTGCACATGTAACCATAGAAATGAAAGTAGCCACACAAAAGGTGGAAATATACCCACTCAGCAAAGTCTGAGAAAAAAAAAAGATACCAAATTTGATAAGGAACCCCTTAAAGAAATCTTACTTCTATCGTGCTCACAAACTTTTTCAGACGCATAATATATGTATCTCTAGAACAGAAATTCTTAGAATGTTGAAAATTGACAGAGTCATTCTCTCTGATCCCATTGCTTCACTCCAAATTTGAAAATTGCAAAAAATCGATAAGCTTTGGTTGCTCATGACCCCATACTTTCATGACCCCAATGCTTTAAACCAAATTTGAAGGAATGGTTGTGGAATGCAAAAATTCGATAGGCTTTTTTATCGCTCATTACTCCAAATTTGAAAGAAAATCAGATAAAAACTGTAGCCTCTATCACAAGGTTATAGAAAAAGGTGAGGTGGTAACACTGAAATCGATCGAGTTCGTCTTTGCATGACCCCAGTACTTCACACCAAATTTGAAAAAAAAATCTGTTAAAAACTGTAGCCTCTATAGCGTTCATAAACCAGTTGTTGAACGATGGACAAGGTAAGGACATAATACACCCACAAAGAAATGTTGGTGTTTCGAAATTATCATTTTGTCTCAAAATAATGTGTTCACAAGACAATAAACCCCATTTCATTCCATTCTTAGTTCTTTTACTCTTCCTTTTACATATTTGCTTAATTGCTCAGAAAAATTTCGTTGAGTTGCAGTTTTTTTAATTAGTAAATGGAAAATTACCAAAAATGCTCAAACTTGTGGATATAAAAATGAAAATTTGTTCTCTGGCTTCATTTGTTTTAGTAATTGACAGTGTCTAAAGCTTGGGAAATCTAATTTTTTTGTGTGGCATATAAATCCATGAAAATGTTACGATTGTGTGCTAATTACTTAGATATCTACATCCTACTTTTAAATAAATACACTTGTTAAAAAAATATACTTTACTTTAACACATTTAAACATTTGTGCATAACAAACTGTGTAGGACAAATAACAATTTATCCTCATCATTGTATAGAAATTAATCCAGTCTCAGTTCTGGAATCCACACACCCACTTTCTCCATACATTTAAGTTTTTGGTTGCCTTTTATGGAAAATAGTATATATTTATAGTAGATGTTAAATTAGTAAAGTCTGTTTAAGCTAAATGATGTCAAGAAGATAGACTGAAAGTAAACAAACATTAATGCCCATATTGTCTAATTAACTCCACTGTACTAAATGTCTGTTAGGTTGGGTGATAAGTGTAAGTTAAGGCTTGACGCTATTAGGTATTTTCACCCCTCTCTTCTTTTAGTATTAGCTTTCTTGGGAAGTCAACTTTTATCCTACTTCCTTGATTAGCATGCTATAAATGTCAAACGACGGAGAAATGGTTCTCACTGTAGTTCTTGTGTGGGATACAAGCTAATTTCAAGCCAGTGTACACAGTGGATTGGATTAGATTAAGTTTACATTACATGTTTCTACTAATACTATGTTAAATCTGTTTACACCCTTCTTATTTAGAGAACAGCCCTCTTTGGCTACACTCTAGATAAACCACAGTCTGCAGGCACATCCTTTTATTTATATTCAAACCTTCTACTTTCTCACAAAATAATTCACATCAAATTCACATTTAAAAAAGAATTGAGACAGAGAGATGGGGTTTAACATCTATTTAAAACAACTTTGCCATTTCATATATGATGTATCTTTATTACATTAATCTGCGTCCACAGAGGGATTTTTATACGCCCACATTTTCATGTGGACGTATATTGTCATCGCCCCTGTCAGACGTCTGTCCGTCTGGATGTCCATCTGTGGACAATTGTTTGTGGACACTCTACAGGTCACAATTTTTATACGCCCACATTTTCATGTGGACGTATATTGTCGTCGCCCCTGTCTGTCAGGACGTCCGTCCGTCCACAATTTGTTTGTGGACACTCTACAGGTCGCAATTCTTATCCGATTTTGACAAAACTTGAAATATAGGTTTATCTCCAAAAGATCTCGACTGCTTTCGATAATGGCATGTATCGGATCGAAACTTCATGGATTATGGCCCCTGTTTGTACGAAAAATCACGTTTTTAGCTTGTGGACCCTATAGAGGTCACAGTTTTTATCCGATTTTGTTGAAACTTGAAATGTAAGTTTATAACCCAAAGATCTTGGTTTCTTACAATTTGCGACAATGTGCGAAAGCCCAGAAGGCTCATTCCAAATTCCAAATTCCAAATTCATGTCTTACCAATAAAATAGCAAATTGGCAGCCCCCCTCAATTAAACAAATTAAAATTTAAATAAATTGTAATTTTACACATCTAATTAGTGCTAGTTTACCTATCTGATGCCTGGATTCCAAATTCGACATAATCACGTGACATTACAATCATCATGGCTGATGCAGAGAAGATTAGTGTTGCCGATGCGGCGGATTTGACCTATAATTTTGCACAACTAATTAGTGCTAGTTTACCTATCTGATGCCTGGGCCAGATAAACACCCGTTCCAAATTACTAGGTTTCGAAATTCCAAATTACTAGATTCAAAATTCCAAATGCGAAATTCCAAATTCGACATAATCACGTGACATAACAATCATCATGGCTGCTGCAGAAAAGATAAGTGTTGCCGATGCGTCTGATTTGACCTATACATTCAATATCCGTGGAACTTTTACACTGGAGGAACTGAGTAAGTGATCAAGTACTACTACTGATATGCAACCGATCACTAAACTGTTCACATCTACCAAAGCAAACCTCGGATCAGATTTGGAATTTCGCACTTGAAATTTGGAATGAGCCTTCTGGGCTTTCGTAACAATGCACTCATGGACTGCTCGGACGATTTAGCTGCTGTGATGTATGTTTCATTGCCTGGCAACCTATCTTTAAAAAATGAAAAACCTTGAATTATAGAAATATAAATAATAACATACAGTTTTTGCACATAAAACTTTAATATTTCTGTCTGTATACTATTCACTTAGAATATTAATGTGTCCTTATATTTGATAAAGAATAATTATTGCCATTATGTTACTTATTAACAGGCTGTACAGTAGTTTATGAATTGTAGTCTTTCTAAGGTTTCTAGATAACTGCATGTTTTGTTGACCTGTATCTAGGTCTACTTATACAGTAAATATATATGAGATTTGTAATTATTTATCTAATGAGCCAGCCTTGTACTAATAACTTGACTTGACAAAAACAATTTCAGGATTTATTTATTATTTATTTACTTTCATGAAAATTACTAACTTCAATAATTGTCTAACGTTTTGTTTTGAATAGTTCAATAACCATTTATATAGTAAAAAGTGGTTCACAAGCAAGATTTTACATTGCACATGTAGTAAATAAGGGTTACGACTGGGTTTAGAAGTTATTAGATCGAGAGAAAGGGGGTTTAGCGTCCACTTGACATAAACTAGGTCATTTCAGGACTAACATTGTGTGTAGGGATCTTTAACAATGATCGAAACCCCACAACTTGACTCAATGACAGATCTTATGATCTAAATTGTGCATTTTAGCGACTCGCCCCAACCTCTTGCTATTATAGAAAAAATGGTGGACAGATTCTGAAATCGGTTTAAAAGTTATTTTAAGGAGCCTCAAAATCTGTGCTTGCTTCAGTACATAACCCTGTAATCTATAAATAAATTCATATAATTATAGCATCATAAAAAAAATACTAATTGCGTATATACGCCTGTTTAGTCAGGTGATAAAATGTTCGCATAGCAATCATAAAACAACAAAACAGACAATAATGTTATTTTCTAACCTTCTAAATGTAGAAAAGTCACCCTGCAGATGTTCTTCATATTATTATTATATAATGACCGTCCTGTAAGGTGACATCCTATATGTATTTATATATATATAGTATATTGCCAGAGTGGATATATATTTCAACATGTCACTCTCTTTTACTTTTATTGACATACTCAAAAACAAAAACAATCCAAGTTTTATCATAATAACATCTTGTTATTGTTGAATAATCTTTAAAAATACTACTGTAGCCTGTGAAACAAGCCAGGACTTTAAAGTTAACAATGAATTAGGACAATAAGCCTGGGTATAATTGACAGCAATTTGCCAAGCAATAATAATAATTCTTATAAGAGGAGAATAATTTACCGATTAACATAAACTCAGCATTCGGAAGCAGTAATATTTGAGATAAGGGAGACTAATGCCTCGACTGTTTCATTAAATAGATTGATGGTAAATGGCAGAAGGAACTTTAAATGTCAAAGATGAAATTCCCAGGCAGCTTTACTACCCCTATATCCCTTCTTGACAAATACGGTGTTGAGTAGCATATAATTGGTTAGAGAAGAGAGAAGTGAAGTAGATACAGCGTGTCAAACATTATGCTCTCCATGGAGCTTCTCATTATAAAATACCTAATAACCCATCAAGTATAATCAAGTATTCTAGACTAAATTATGGCCTAATTGAGATTAATTTCTCCCCATCTCTTTCTCACTACTATTACAAATAAATTGTCTCGTTTAACTGCATCAGTCTCTTGTATTTATTAGCCAACAATGCCATAATGGTATGGTCAGAAGCTTGTCTCTTTGCTTGGCCTATCTTGGGAAGCCTTTGCTTGGCCTATCTTGGGAAGCTCAAGTTAATTGGGAAAGATTTAATATTTATGATTGTCAAATAAACTAATAACTATTATGTGCTTGACTTTTCTGGTTGTCTTCAGTAATTGTTCTCTTTGACCTTTTCGTGTTCTAGAAACTTTCCCTCCACTTTGAAAGGGCAAAAAATGTCAGATTATTACTTTACGGACTTTCGAGACTAGTGGTTTGTGAAGGGATGTTTCGGGTAGATTTGGTTTCCCCCATGAGAGATTGATTTCCATCTATTCATGTCTCCCTTAAGATTCACACAAAATATCAAATAAGTTGTTTTTCCTTTGTTTTTACAACAAACTTTAAAAGTCATTTTTCTTTTTAAAGCTAATTAAATTTCAAAAACCAGTTCCTAGCAATGATGTTTTTCTGTACACAGTACACATAAAAGAATCCTATAGGCTTGTACTTCAGTTGCTGCTCTAGTTAAATAATTTGCTTGCGCGTAGGGGTCTCTAGCAGTGGGAGGAAGCCGGAGAAAACCCACCAGGTTGAACAGCCAAGTGCTTTTGTATATTTCAAAAGTTTTTCTGCTTGATGACATATAAGAAAAAATTTGAATTCTATATTTATATTGTTATTTTATATTACAGAGAGTTCTTTTACATACAAATGGAGAAGTATGCCCGTCAAGCTTTAGCTGAAGGTTGTAAACATGCTGATGAACTTCATGTATCACCAGATTCTGAATTATACCGTGTCCTTAATCTGCATTATAATAGAAATAATCAAATTGAGGTATGACTTCAAATTATTTTGATCTTAGAATTATAATGTTGTGTCAAGCTGCTTCCATATTATCCATAATTTTTTAAATTGCATACAAGTAATTTTTTCATTCTCTACTCCTGACCCAAGTCAGATATTCTAAAGTTTTTATACGCCCACATTTTCATGTGGACGTATATTGTCGTCGCCTGTCAGTCTGTCCGGACGTCCGTCTGTTTGTCCGTTCGTCCGCCCACAATTTATTTGTGGACACTCATCTACAGGTCACAATTTTTAACCGATTTTGACGAAACTTGAAATATAGCTCTCAGTTCCTTTATGGTTTATGGCCCCTGATTGTACAAAAAATAACGTTTTTAGCTAGTAGACACTCTAAAGGTCATAAGTGTCACCTGATTTTGAAATGCATATTTATAACTTAAAGATCTTGGTTCCTTTCGATATTCGTACATATCGGATTGCAACTTCCTGAATTATGGCCCATGATTTTATGAGAAATCGCATTTTTGGCTTGTGGTTCCTCTAGAACTCACAATTATTATCCGATTTAAAAAAAACGTTTGAATATATCACCGCTCCACCGTTATATGGGTTGAGTTCGAATGTCGTGAAAATGGGGCTAAAACTGATTTTACGAGAAATCGCATTTTTGGCTTGTGGTCCCTCTAGAACTCACAATTATTATCCGATTTAAAAAAAACGTTTGAATATATCACCGCTCCACCGTTATGTGGGTTGAGTTCGAATGTCGTGAAAATGGGACTAAAACTGCCGGACAAAATGGTTGCCCCTCATATGCAAATAGTGTAAACATCTGGTATATCAAAGTTATGGACCCCCTAGAGGTCACAGTTTCAATCTGATTTTGATGAAACTTGAAATACATGTTTATAATCTAAAGATCTTGGTTCCTGTCGATATTCGCGCATATCGGATCATAACTTTCTGAATTATCGCCCATGATCGTACGAAAAATCACGTTTTTAGCTTGTGGTCCCTGTAGAGGTCACAATTTTTATCCGATTTAAAAAATATGTGTGAATATATCACTGTTACACACTAAGATCTTGGTTCCTTTTGATAATCGCACATATCTGAACGTAACTTCCTGGATTATGGCCCCTGATTGTTGAATGAAGGTTGAATTTGAATTTCGGGAAAATCAAAATGAAACTGCCCGACAAAATGGCCACTCTTTGTACGCAAATTGTGTAAAAGTATGTAATGCGAAGGTTGTACACCCTCTAGCGGTTTTTATCCGATTTTGATTAAACTTAAAACATATCTTTATATCCCAAAGATCTCGGTCCCTTTTGATATTTGTACATTTCAGACTTTAACTTTCTGGATTATGGTCCCTGATTGAACAACAAATCACTTTTGTTTTTAGCTTGTTCTCTGTCCATCTCTTGGAAAATGTGGGCATATCTTGCCAGGCAGCCGCTGGTTCCAGTCATCTGTTTTGTGTTGAACCAGTTGAAGATTTTTATTGCTAGTTCAGTGAGAAAGACTGATCTGACAAATTGACAAATTGGAAGTGACCTGACAAAAGTTCACTGAAATTTCATTGAGAGAAAAGTGATTGAAAATTGTGAACCTCTGCGTCACGAACAACTCATCACAACCTCACTACTTTCTTCTTTCTGACCTATTGGTCTTTTTAGAGCCTCTACCAACTTTTCATTCATTACGATTTGAAAATGATTTACCCTACCCCTCAACAATAATGATTTTAGAAAACTTGTTCTCAAAGTTGGTTCATCAGTAGTTAATGACTAACACTACACCTTTATGGAAACAAAGGACATATACAATATCTGATAGGAAACTAATCAGATGAAAACATAATTATTTGTCAAATTCAACTTGAAAATCTTTATATCGTGAAATTTTTTATTTTTATAAGCCCACATTGAAATGTGGTCATATGATGTTGTCGCCCCCGTCCGTCTGTCCGTCGTCCACAATTGCTTGTGGACGCTCTAGAGGCTAAAGTTTATATCTGATTGACTTTAAATTTATACGCAATGTTTAAGGTCATGAAACGAAGGAGCCTATTGATTTTCAGCAATTTCGGATAATTACTGCCAGACTTTAAATTTATATGCAGTGTTTGAGGTCATGAGAGAAAGAATCCTATTGATTTTCAATGATTTCCAATAATTACTGCAAAAGTTATGGCCCTTGATCACTTTGAAAAATCTTGTAAAATCTTGTGACGCTCTAGAGGCTTATGTTATCATCCGAATGACTTTAGATTGATACACAGAGTTTAAGGTCTTGAAACGAACAAGTATATTGATTTTCAATGAATATTGATAACTTGAACAGCTAAATCCATGATATTAAATATTTCGTATACTAAACGTTAGCATGGGGCAGAAATTTATAAAAACCAAATAAATTCTAATGATTTTCTGATAATTACTTAATGAGTTGTTACTCTTAATCAGATTCTAGTGTATTATAAATGTTTCATTACTGAAAAAGTAAAAATATGCGACAACTCTTGTTGAATGGTCGGACGATTTAGCTGCTGTGTGTGTGTGTTTCTTTGCCTGGCAACCTATCTTTAACCAATGAGGAAAAAAGGGCAGAAAATGTCATCTTTGAAATTATTTGGAGATCAAAGGTAACTTTCTTGTACAAGAACCAAGTTAAAAATACATTTTCTTCAATAATTGAAACATAATGGCTAAAAGATATGTGAAGGATTCTTTGTTGATATTAAAGTATTAAGAATGTTGTTAGATGGGTCGATTAGATCCTTACCTTTGCTTTGTCAGATGTGAAGAACATGAGAATACACTTACAAGATTGGGAAAAGGCAAATTATATTGTTCACCCAACATTTAGCCTTTTTCACAGATCCAGTCTTATTAGTCCAACTCTTTTGTGGATAAAATAGTCTTTTTTACGGGCATATAATTACGTTGATTACTGCTTTAATCGACAACAAAACCTCTCTTTACAACTAATCTATTATTTTCAACTTCTTTCACACACATTGTGGAAAAAAACGTATAATTTACGGATTACTACGAAATCGTTTCATTTTCTTTGACAATAAGTGGCTCCTTTAGTTGAATGGCTGTGTATTATGTTCAGGATGAAAGGTTGTCATACTGTAAGATGGTCTATCATTATAAATATTATTATATGCCTTAAAGACATGGAACTTTACTAGGCTTGCCTGATAATTGATTGAAGCATAGCTTGTGTTGTGTGTTTAGATGGGGGTTCACGGTGGCTAAGTGGATAAAATGCTGGCTCACTAGCCCGGAGGTCTGGTATTCGCTCCCTGCATTGGCTGAGAAAGTTCATCCAGATTTGTGTGTTAAAATGAATCAAAAATTGAGCCCCCCACCCACCCAGGTTGGTTGTTTGGCAATCTGATTAAAATAAAGATCTAAAGTTCGTTTCGTTTTTTTATACTTTCGATGGCCTACACTACATGAAGATCTGACAAGTTATAGCGATAGGTCACGTCAGGGGTCAAAAGACCGACTTATGACCCTATGATGTCAGACATTTGATTAACCAATCAGCATTGATGTTACTAGTGGATTACCCACAGTTCCGTGCAAAACATGCCTAAAGCTCGCCGTAACAGACTGTTTCATTGGCTTATCCCTGACACCATTAAGAACACGAGTTAAATAACAACTCTTCCAGATCCAGGTGTAGTAAAGACAAGTAAAACGAAATTTCGAACTATAAAAACGAAACGAAATAGGATCTGTGTTTTAACGAGATTGGTTGTTTGGTTGGTTTGTGTGGAACTATTTAGAACAATTTTCTATGTAAATCTTATGGCATCTAAAAGTCAAATAATTGATTAGGTTGTCTGTGCTGTCCTCTATGATGAATTCAGTGCCAGAGAATCCCTGTAGGGGATGTGTTAATCATTATGATGATTTAATGTCAATTATTAAGATTAAGATGTCTGCTAGGAGATTGGTGATTTTTTTTTTAAAGCAAAAGGAGTCATAGATTTAATACCATTAAGAATAGCAATGATCAAAGACTACTTGGATGAAGTGTTTTGTACTTTGTTGATTTTCTAATTAAGTTGAACAATTGGTTATGAATGTATTCATGCCCTAACCATTTTTTTCCTTTTTTTTTCTTTTATAACCCACCTTTAAACCATTACATCTTTATCAGATTACCACATGACACAAATTTTTTCATCTAGTAATTTTTTTCTTGTCATAGCATTCGTCAAGTTAAAAAAATGGAGCCTTTTTTAACTTACTGGAATTCAATTTCATCAGATTTAATTGACAGTAAAGTAGAAATTTACATAGTTCTTTTAAATATGAACATAATATTTTAAATGAATCGAATCTATATACATGAATTTATGTCATTTTATTTCCTTTGCAGGTTCCTGATAATTTTAGAAGATGTGTACAAGGAAGTCTTCGGGAATTTTTCCGTTCTATATATAGTGGCAAAGATGCAGAACCATCTTGGAAGAAGGCTATTTATAAAGTTATTGCCCGATTGGACGATACTTTACCAGAATATTTTAAATCACCAAATTGGATGGAACAATTAGGAGAAGTGTAAAAAGTCTTGAAAGTGATAAACTCTTAGCATCAATAAAACAGTTCTTGTAAATTGGGTATCAAGATAGTTCTTGTAAATTATTTAACATAGTTTTCCACTAGAATATATACATTTATATCTTCATTATTATTTTGGAATACAATCATCAATGTAATGTAAAAATGCATTCTTCAGATTCACAACTGTTGACATAATTTCTGTCAAATCAAGTTCTATCTGTATATTTGTAAATTAAAAGTTTGTTATTATTATTATTATTATTATTTATGTTATAATAGTGTGAATGTGTATGTAATACATGTGTATTTATAATAATGCACATGTTTCTGATTCAAATAAATAGTTACCTATGTAGATACAAAAAAACCAAATAGCGTGTTCCCTAGTCATAAAGCTTGACCTAAGAGAAGTTTACTAGAATGGATCCATGAAATCCATTAGTATTGACATTTTTACAAATCAATCATATAATATTTGGTGCAGTTATCTATCTCATGTACATGTGTATATAATTATATATCATAAATATGTTGTTTTATTATTTATTTTGTATTTAAATTTGGATTAGTTTTGTAAGATCATTGTCTGAGAATAAGAAGTCTACAGACATTGTAATGGAAAGGATAACTGGAAGGATGTTAATTAAAAAAATTTGTTGTACCTCAATATATTCTAGTATATTAGTTTAGTGATCAGGTTCAGTTGGATTATTATACATTTGATACTCCAACCATCCATTCTATTATTATCATTTTGTAGACATGACCTTTTTAATTAATTGTTTGTGAGACATATAGTTGTTTAATAATATGTTCTCTCTTGTGACATGCATAATGGTTTTTGTACTATACAAATAATTTTAAGTCAATTTTCAATTTATCTATTTATTTTTTGGGGGTGGGGGTGGGGAATAGCTGCAATATATTTCACCTCATACAATATTTAATCTAGTATTATACTCATGATATTTATTTTCACAAGTTTATTTGTTTATGATTTTATAATAAACAGCATAATTTGAGACAAGGTACAATTTTATGGATACACAATTACTGAGTTTAATACTAAGTGATGTTTCAATGAGGATACTTTGGTTCTTTTTCAGTGCTTATCCAGTTTTTTTCACAGTCTAATTATACATTTTACATATCTTGGTTTTCAGTACTTAACTTTCATGATTTTACCCTTGCTTCAGAGATCACTCTGGTTCACTCATACTCCCATAAATACACACTTCTCTTTAAATTATTGTTGATCTATATAGCTCAGGTTAATTGGTTTCCCATTAATAGTGTTAATACATTGAACATACATATTATGATTGCCCTCTTTTTAATCACTGTAAGATTTTCCGCTGTGTGGGTTTAGTTGTTAATGGCCCCCTTTATCAAAGGTGTTAAGTTTTAATTGTATTTGGTTGTTATTTTTGTTGCATATTCTGTATATATTTGCCTAACATTCACATACCTGTATCATTTGCTTGATAAAGACGAGAGTATCCTCATCGAAACATTGTTTACTATTAAACTCAGTAATTATGTATCCATAAAATTGTACCTTGTGTTAATATGTTCAATTGCTAAATGCCAATCAAAGAAGCATAATTTGAATTCCAGTTCTAGTCATATTTTTGGTAATACAAAATCACCTTATTTAGTGACATTTATTTTATCGCTAAAATAGCATAATTTCATTTTGATATTATTAATTTAAATCATTATATTATATGCCATAACTTGTCAATTATCATTCCTATTTTTAGGAGTTTGCATGCATTATTATTCCTTCATAATTAATACCACCATTCTTTCCTTGTTATATAATATTATATTCTTTCAAAATTTACCTACCAAATATCATTTCATTATTATTTATGTTTTTTCATTCCTTAAATTGAATTTGTCATTCCTTAAATTGAATTTGTCATTCCTTAAATTGAATATGCTATTCCTTAAATTGAATATGCTATTCATTAATATTTGATCATGCCATTTCTTAATATTATAACTATATCATTCCATTCCTTAATTACCATAGTGAGATTCAAAACCATTAAATTTATTTTCTAGTCATTTTTGCAGAAAACTAAACATTTGTAGTCATTAAAGTGTGTTTGCTAAATATTTGTAGTTCGAAAAAAAATCTGTTAGCTTAAAATGTAAATGTTTCTTAAATCTTTGTTATTTTTTGTTTCTGAAAGGTGATTTAGATTTCCAAATAGTGGTAGATTTGTTGATCTGTAAATATAAAACAAAATTTATAAATGTACAAATAAATTTCCAAACCTTTTCATAAATATACCAATTATTATATTCTATGTACCTACATTATATATACATTATATACTATTTTATAATCCTATCATTTGTTTTTCTATCTTACATAATGCTTCTCCTGTTGAACATTGTCAACTTTTCAGATGTAGTTAAATAAATAGCTATCAAGAAAAATAAATAGTATCTGTTGTTGTTAATATAAACTCATCTCTTGTTGCAGCAAGGTAGAGGGTAGAGACAATAAACCCTTGCACAATGTAACTTGGTGATTGGGTTGGTGGGGGAGAGGCGACAGGAACATGGTGTGGATGAATGGTGCTGGTAGAAACAAATAAAACCTTGCACCAGGGGACTGTGTATGAATTGTACGGGGTACAGACAAGAAAACCTTGTATCAAGGGACTGTGTGGGTGGTATGGGTGGTAGAGACAAGAACACGTTTCATCATGTAGGTGGTGGTTCGTCCACTTCCTTTGAAAGTGATATCGCAGACAAGTTGTCTTGGTATATTCAGCACTTGCACCAGACTCTTTCCTGCGCTCACACCAGGGAACAAAACCACTCGGCCTTCCCAACCCACTTTGACTAAAATCTTTTGATACTTACATTTATAGTATTTTGCATTGTGGGGACAATAGTGACTCCAGACAAATTCTCAGTTGATTAAGCTGACATTGCCTTGGCAAACTACTCCTCTTTTGGCTTTGATTCACTGAAAGGACAATATGGTGTTTCTATTTTTAAATAAATAAAAACTTTCAAAATAGTAAAATATATCTAAAAAGTATATTATTACATGATATTTAGTTTTATACTCAATGTCTGGTTAAAGAACCCAATATAAGAAATGAGTTGTGTTTTATATCAAATGTAACATCCTTCTACAAAATAGAACACCAATAACCAGTGCTTTTTTAATTTAAAAAATCAGTTTTCTTCATTATTCTTTTTGTTCCATTTCAAAATGTAAAATATTATATTTTACGTTGTAGACGATTAACATGGTGATTATAAAGTATAGGAAGTGATTTGATAAAATTCTATGAAAGAATATTTTATTTTAAGAATATAAATAAAGTGTCTCCCTGGTAATCATCTTGCATTTATTAGAAATATTACATCGGACCACACACATTATTAATTATATATATTTATTTTTAATGTCATTTTGTTGTAGTATTAATACCCAGACATCAGATGACTATACATCAGTTATGTTTCATGAACATCGTCTGAATTACAATAATAATATTGATGTACACACACATTTTAATATGGTAGTATCTATATATGTCAGAGACGCGCCATTAGCGCACACGATCGGTCTTTTTATCGCCTTCGAATGGCGAGTAAAATCTTTGATCAATAGCTTGTCATTGCCAGTAAATGTAAGATATTAAATATCATTGTAACGCCCTGTAAAACCATTACCATAAATCGCTCTAATGTTTTACAGTAAACAGTGGTTTAAGTTCAAGCTATCTCAATCTTTATATCGATTTAATATGACATACAACTTATTCGACTTGATGGCCAACTACCAGGTAAAATGACATACTGAGTAGTGGAGAAGCTGGTCGAAATTAGGGTGTTTTCAGATCGTGAGCGAGCAATTAAATACGAGAGAGCGAAAGAAAGGAAAATAGTCATGTAAATCTAATACCTCAATCCCGAGAATGACCCTGTTAAGAGAATTCTGGAATTGACCAGATTTATTGTCTGTATTGTATTATACTGTTATGACCGTTTACTGATTATGTAATAAGGCTTGGTTGGTATTCTTTTGTCTTACTTATTACACAATAAGTCTTAGACCAAATTTTACATCAACCTTCACCGCGGTTAATTAGTCCTCATTGTCAGCTTATATAAAACGCTAATAAATTGCTATTTACTATAAGAGCCAATTGTCTGGTAAGTAATAGTAGATCATATTTAGTATGAAAATAAAAATTAGCGTCGTCTAGAATTGGAAGACGTCAGGTCAACTAAAGACCTGTCCACCTGCCATCCGAAACCATCTTTTAGTTCCTTGATAATTGGTCCATTATATGAACGATTAGTATTATTAACTTTTTTGACTTTCTCTACGGATGGTGCCATGTCTTGTTTGCATGGATTGAACACGGATTTTATAAAATCTTTTACTTCACACATGAAAAGCTTGAGACATTATAAACCCACATTTTGTTATTATGATCCATTGTCTGTTTGATTAAATGTAAGTGTAATATACTCTTAAAAAAAAGTAGGGGATATTCAGAAACAATACAAAACTGCGGAAATGCACTGCTGTTTTTATTAGAGGTAACCAGTGTATATTAATAACAGGCCAATTGCCTACACATGAACATGAACAGTTCATATGGGCGACTTATCTGACGGCCCCATTTCACAACGCAAAGAGATACAGTCATAGGCGTACGGGGAAATTTTTTACTGGGGGGGGGGGGGGAGGGGGCGGGGCGGGGCGGTGGTGGTTGGTGCCCTAAAAATGTAGTTAGGTTCTTAGTATGTTACATAATAATCATAATATCTCTTTTGCGATGAATAAGTTCTTAATTTCTAAATCATCAATAAAAGAGAACTAAATTTTATTTACTTGTAATATACACAACTAAAAACAGTTGTTTATGTAACTGTAATTTGTGGCTTACTGTACTCCAAACAATAGAGGGTTCGAGTCTTAAGATTTCTATTTAATTGCCTAACTATAGACACTCTGAATTTAAATTCGCTGTTAAATTGGACGCATTCAAGAACACAATATTTTTTTATACAACTTTTACAAAGTACAATTGTGTGCCCAAATTTTCCCAGCATTTGGTGCCCAAAATGGGGGGGGGGGGGCGGCTGCCCGCCCAGCCCCCCCCCCCCAGGTCGTACGCCAATGGATACAGTGTCAAAAGTGAAAATGGACGTTTTTGATTTTTGTCTTAATAATGAGTAATTGCTCCACCAATCCCCAGACATTCAGCAATTCGTCTTGGCATGCTCCTAATCAACCGTCCAATCACGATTTGGGGCAATCTGACCCACTCCTCTCGCAGTGCCGCGGCCAATTCTTGCAGTGTTGTCGGTTGACGTTGACGTCGACGAACACGTCTCCTGATCAAATTAAACGTAACACCCTAAAGCAAAGAAACGCTAAACAGTAAATCTTATGCAAGAACCGATAGGAAAGCAAACATGGATAGGATAAGCCAGCAAGCGGCAGTTTTCATCAACCCTTCCTTGAAGTGTCAAATTTGACAATGAACCCCTCCCACGTGTATAGGGCTATTGAGTGTCGCACATGCAGCTCAGTGGTACTGTTGGGGCGATAAGTTATCATCTGTAAACATACTCTCAAATATACTATTCAAAAAAAGTAGGGGATATTTGATTTTTAAGTGTTATTGAAGTCACCTAATGAAACTGACGAAGAAACAAATGACAAAATGAAATGAAGTTCACATTCATCGATTTATTCCAAATGATCGTTAGACTAAGTAAGGTACAGACTGACCATTATAAGGGTAAAATGATACCCGGGGTCAAACAGCAAAGTTACCACAGCATCACAACCAAGTCAGTAAAGGGTAAATCCTCCTCTGTTTGCCAAACAAGCATTGATCCGACGTGGCATACTCCTAATGAGACGTCTAAGGTCATTTTGGTCCAGATTGTTCCATTCCTGTTGCAACGCAGCAGCAAGTTCTTGGACATTGGCAGGACGTTGTTGACGTTGACGTAACCTCTGTCCAAGCATGTCCCAGACATGCTCGATGGGGGAGAGGTCGGGACTCAGTGCTGGCCAAGGTAATGTAGTGATGTTCTGTTGTTGGAGGTAACCTGTAACGATCCTGGCCCTGTGACATCTTGCGTTGTCATCCTGGAAGATGAAACGGCGGCCATGACGTCGTGCGAACGGCACAACATGGACTGCCAAGATGTTGTCCCGGTAGTACTGGCCTGTAACACGCCCTGCAACAACATGTAAAGCCGTTCTTCCAGCAACAGTGATGCCTCCCCACACCATAACAGAACCACCCCCAAATCGATCATGTCTGATGACGTTAACGTCTTGGAAGCGCTCGTTTCGACGACGCCACACCCTCCTACGTCTGTCCAAAAAATCAACAGTGAACCTTGACTCATCTGAAAACATCACATTGCTCCAGCGTCGATTATCCCAGTGTTGACGATCCCTACACCAACGACGTCTTGCCTGAATGTGATGATCTCTCAAACAAGGGATCACGCGAGGACGTCGGGCGCGAAGGTGACCCCTATGCAGTCGATTCCGAATCGTCTGGCCACTCACTCTCACACCAGTGTCTGTTTGAAGACGAGCGCTGATCTGATTTGCTGTGATGACACGATTTCTCAAGGCCAAGGTACGGATAAATCGATCCTGGGCTTGAGTTGTGGCCCTTGGTCGACCTGAGCGTGGTCTGTCCTGTACAGATTGTGTATCACGGTATCTGGACCATAGCCTGCTTATGACAGACTGAGAAACATTCATCGTCCGCGCCACAACCGCCTGTGTTGTGCCGATCTGTAGCATGCCAAGGGCACGTAACCTTTCATTTTGGGTAAGCCGACGCATATCAAAATTTGTTTTCTGGTCACTAAAACAATTAAACTGATATTTCCACCCTGGTATTCAATGCCACAATGACTGTAACATTCAAAGTCAGAGTCGTGCAAATCTTGGGTTGGACCCCCATGATGATCCCAAGCATCACCTGCATTCCATGCGGTAGCTATTGGTGCGTTTGGGCGTCACATGTAACTGGAAATGTTTCTTCTCTTAGGTTCTATAGTGACTTTTTTCGTAGTCATTTGCATATTTTAGTATTATGCCCCCAAAATCAAATATCCCCTACTTTTTTTGAATAGTATAGTAAGTGCAGGAGGACCGCACTACACGTAAAACACAAATCTACAAGCATGTCAAGTGTCCATGACTATTTATCATATCACAACCTGCATAGGTATTTGTATTTCAATATCCCCTACTTTTTTTTAAAGAGTATATATAGTAGACTATGACTGGTTTCATTTTTCAAAGGAATTTTGTGCGTTCACATTGGGTGACTATCATAGCTTTTTCCTACCCATTTGTGTATTTTAATAGAGGATGTTTAGGGATTCTACATGTTTATTACAACTGTAGCC